ACAGAAGAATGCAGCAAGACACAGCTTTTGCTTTTGTGCACATGCACTTCACATCCGCCGAAGAATGCATGTCACAGTAATTTTGCTGTGACATGCACAAAAGAGACCCACGAGTTGCGCTCTGTTCCTTTCTCTCTGACACATTTCAGCGTCGGCGGGCAAACACTGGAAGGTTGGTTTTCATTTTGCTCACAGAGGCAGGCAAATCAAACCAAGCCGACTTACACAATACGATTATGACGAAGACAGCAGCATACATTGTTGGTATTAAGCCGGGGCGCCTCCGATAATTCACATAAATAAATACTGAAACTGACCGGGAAGAGCATGAAGTCAACCGAAGATATGATAAATACTGAAACTGACCGGGAAGAGCATGAAGTTAACCGAAGATATGTGCATAGGCCTATGCAGAGAGACGCACAGCAATGGGCGACGATGCGGCCTCCAGTGGCTATCTGTCGTAGGGACACAGACATTTTTGTCGGCACCAGAGCCCAGACAAGGCCGTCAGGTGGGCGTGAAGTAGATTCTAGATCTCCATGGGACGGAGTTCGAGACAGTCCACGTATACAGTGTGGTACAAGTGCCTTTGCGTGAAAGACACATGGGAACGATCAGCCTATTCATGTGTTTGCATGTTCCGTCATTGTTCTTTCAACTCATGAATCATCCCTGTCACGCGCTCCCACCTGCCAAGAAGTGGAGTGGGGGAGACTCAGTTCCTTCTCTGCTGCAGGAATCTCTTTGAACAACCACACCATTTCCGAGTGCCGTGTAACGGCACGAAGGTCGTTTTCTGCGGCGACTTGAAACTCTTATTTAGACTTACCACTTGAAGGCTGAGAGAATGAACGGCCGCGCTTGTTTCGGCTTCGGCGTTTTCTTCGTCGTCGGATTGGCTGTTGTGGCGCAGCATGCACTGGCGGTGCTGGAGCCAGCGGACCGAGCGCGTAAGCGCCGCGCACTCGAGAGCAAACACCTCATGTATCTAATGAGCTTGTTTGCTCTTTCTGTTCCTTGCATGGTTTCTCGTGTTCGCATGCGTCTTCGGCTAGATGTGATGGGTGCCATAGCCGTTGACGGTATTCTGGCCACTGGCAACAACTATGGGGAGGGATGCATTTCCACTGCTTCAATTGCTTTCTTCTTGTGTGGTATTATTACATATAGGTCAGCAGGAGCAGCTGCCACCGACGAAGATGGAGGCGAGGATGGATTCCGCCAGTGCACCTATCGCGAATGCCAGCATCTTCGCTTCCGTCGGCTCGCTGGCGACCAACGCGGGTGGGAAGGTCATTGACAGTGCCCATCACTTCCAGCAAGATCAAGCCAGTAACTGTCAGGACTGCAAGCCCGGTGGGTGCTCATTGCTTCTCTCGCATCTCGCTGTGATGAGCGAGGTTCTGCTGCCTCCTGCCTGTTTGTCTGTTTGTCTGTCTGTCTGTAGAGTGCAAGGTAAGACTGCAAAGAAGGGGCACGCGCTGGAGCATCCTATCGGCCGACTATTCGTGCCGGAGGGGTGATATCTGTGAAGTCACCGAGTGCGAAGGAAGGGGCTCCGGTTGGGGGGTGACAAGGTACACGCTGAAGGGGATATGTATCCACCCCGATCGTGTAGAGGCCAAGTGTCAGAGCATCGATTCTAGGCGCACCTTCGGCGGCAGTGAGCACCCCTTCTGCGTCTCACAAGACCCCCGCTTTCGCGGCGACGGATGTGGCTGGGCCGAAGACTGGCATGTCGTGTGTCGACGATTGCCATAGCGTCTCGAGACGGCATTTACTTCTTCATCCACCCACGGTGCCGCCATTGTTCATTCGACCATGTACAAGCCTTGTGTGCGACCATTCTATGACCCTCTCCACACTCATGCCCTCCGTCGATGAACCTGTCTATCTGCCTCTTGGCGTGTCCTGTAGCGTGGCGTGGACAGCTGACCGGTAACGTCAGAGAGACCATTGAAGTTACGGCTGCCTAAGAATTAATGAGTGTCGATGAGTGTGGACAGTGACCGTCCATATTTTACACACACATTGATGTGGATGTGCACAGTTTAATTGAGACGGACGAAGACATCCCTTCGTCCCTTTTTCTCTTCCGTTTGTAGTTGTGTTGCGCTCTGTTCCTTTCTCTCCCTCTGACACATTTCAGCGTCGGCGGGCAAACACCGGAAGGAATCTCTTTTTTTCCACTTTGGCTCACAGAGGCAGGCAGATCAAACCAAGCCGACTTACACAATACTGTGGGCCTCGGATAAGTGGGGCGCTGCTAAATGGGAAAAACGTTAAATTGGAAAAATCTGTTTATCCCCTGTTAATGTTGTGCATTTTACAAGCCGGTGTTGACTGTCATCGTGAGCCGTCGCAATGACCTGCACGTGGGCCAGCGTGCATCGCTGATCACTGTGAACCAAATTTCACCGTCAAGCACCCACAAACAAGCGAGATTGGGGCCGACAAAGCAGCGTCCCACTTACCCTCAACAGACAGAAGAATGCAGCAAGACACAGCTTTCGCTTTTGTGCACATGCACTTCACATTCGCCGAAGAATGCATGTCACAGTAATTTTGCTACGACAAGCAAAAAGAGACCCACGAGTCGCCCCCAAGCTCGCACGCGGTCATAAGCATCCGCCAGCGGCGTACTTCGATGCGGCGCTGGTGTTGGCCGATGTGCTCGCCCGCCACGAAGGCATCGCCTGGATGCCGGTGCATGGGCGCGCCGGGCTGGAGGCGCAGCCATGAGTGCAAGCGATCCAGGCCGCGTACGACCACCTTCTCGCCCACTATCCCCCATCGCCCCAATCCGACCCCCTGGGCCCTGCCTGACGTCCGCAGCCTCATGCTTCGCCCCGTCGCGGCCTGCAGTCCAAGCTGACCCAGCGCATGCACCAGCAGGAGTCCGCCTCCCTGCTACTCCCTGCAGGCAGCCCTGGACGCCATGCGTGATGCCGCCGGCCGTCCGACGACCGACGGCGCCCGGCTGCAGAGCTGCAAGGGGCCCGGGGCGTCGGGATGGCTGCAAGCTATCCCGACCAGCCCTGCAACGAACGTGCAGTTCCAGCGGGCCTGACGTGTGGGGCGTGCACGAAGCCCTGCGACCCCCTTGGCGACCACATGCTCAAGTGCCCCAATCGCGGCTACCTCACCAGCCGACACAACACCGTCCAAGCGACCGTCTATCGCATCTGCAAGGAGGCCCGATGCCCCAGCGTGAAGACCGAGCAGCTTCTGCGTGACCACCAGTGCCCACTCTCGCAAACGACCGACAAACAGCGGATGGCCATGCTGATCACTCAGCATGACGGCTCGAAGATCATGGCTGACGTCACCGGCACTCACCCCACCCACGCCGACCGCCCAGGCGAACCCAGGAACCTCACCAACCAGCGGCCTGGCTCGGCCCTTCGCGTGGCCGAGAAGCGCAAGAGGGACGTGTATGAGGTCGCTTGTGCACGGGGAGGGTACACGTTTTTGACTTTGGCCTTCGAGTCGTATGGACGCTGGTTTTCGACTATGGAGACTTTTTTGCACAAGCTAGGGAAGGCAGTGAAGGGAGCTCACTACAGGGATGACAGGCATTTCTCGACGGGCCGTGTCGTGGCCCGATGGTGGGTCCTCTTGTCGTGTGCAGTCAGGCGTGAGTGTGCTCTTACGGTGCGCGGCAAGAGTGAGGCCGCCACACCATTCATCCGCCCCTTCCCCAGAGACGAGGTCTGAGGGAGGGGCCCCTATTCACCCCACTAGGTCTTTTCCTCGCCACACTGTGCCTTCCATGTGTGTGTGTGTGTGTGTGTAGGGGTGTGAGTGTGGGTGTGGGCGTGGGTATGCGTGTGAGGTATTGGTATTCCTGCGTGTGTGTGTGTGTGGGTGGGTGGGTGTGCGTGTGTGTAGGGGTGTGAGTGTGGGTGTGGGCGTGGTCTGTGTGTCTGTCTTGCCGCCCCTTTGCTTTTCCCTGCGGTGATAGGTGTATGGGTGTGCCCTGGGGATGTCTACGGGCCGGCCGCCTGCCGCCCCTCCGCCGTGGATACTGGGGCGGCGGTGCGCTCTCATTCACCCCCAGCACCCCGTGCTTGGTTGTTATAAGGGCGTGTTTGTGTGTGACTGGGCGATCTGCACTGGTTGGCCACCTGGGGATGGGCCGTATGTACGTATGGAGTCATGGTGCACCACGCACGCACGCACGCCGCCTTCAGGTTGCTGGGGTGGCCTGGGGGGGCGCATGTACATTGTGTGCCTGCTCATATGTTGCTGTCGTTCGCAGCGCATTGCATATCCACCTGTTTCTGCATCTGCCCTCCGCGTGCTGCGTGCTGCGTGTCCGGGTTGCATGTTAGGGTGCTGTTTCATGTTGGACGGACGACAGGGGACTTGGCCGTCAGGCCGCCTAGGGTGCTCCCTGAAACCGCTGCTGCCTGCCATCAAAACCCTTCGTGAGCCGGACTCGCCGCCCTGGTCATCGCAAGGTGTCCTGCAGTGCTGCGTGCATCGTCCGAATGAATCCCTTGTGTGTTCATGAGGACGCTCGAATGAATGAATGAATGAACGAATGAATGAAGCTGACACTAGCCCACACCCCCTTCAAACATGCTCCCTGAAACCGCTGCTGCTTCAAACACATCGCACCCAAACGTGTTGCATGTTAGGGTGCGTGTTGCATGTTAGGGTGCGTGTTGTCATGGAACGAAACGGAGTGCACAAAAGCTCGCGAGTCCGTTCCTAATGATGGCAGCTCCTGACCTTTAAGTTACTTACACTTCCAGAAGCTAGGAAGTATGCGGACTGTGAGCGCCGTGTGTCTTCTCTTGCTGGTGCATCACTCCTCCTCGTGGACTCCCGGTGAAGTCCAAATCGATGGAGAACCTTCCGGGGTGATGCGCAGCAATGGAGAACCTCCCGACGGCCACTGCACGAATCGTTCCAGCGCGACGCGTGCCAATCCTTCCAGCGCGAAGCGCAAGATTGGCTCATTCCCGCCGCCGACCATCTACTTGGCGACGGCGACGGATAGGCACCAGTACGTCGGTCTGCTTGCTCTTCTGCGCTCTCTCTGGAGGCATGTTCCAGTGCAAAACAAGGTGCATACTTACCTTACAAGAAGTACGAGACTCAGTTTATCACCGTCAGGTTGAGCTACATATATTCGTTGCAAGCCGTGATGTAGACTGCGCCGCGAAGCTGATGAAGTGTGCAGAAAGCATTAGCCCCAGCGCTGAGGAAATGAGGAGCGGGGTGTTGATCGCTGGGCACGCAGATCAAGAGATAAATCAGTGGAGACGAAGAGTCGTGCTTCATGGTGTGTCCCGGCCTAATGTGGCAGGGGGTCGAAAAGGTGACGAGGTAGCAAAGGATCGAAACAAATTGTGAGGGCCAACGCAACACTTGCATGTGCCATTCAGGTGTTCTTCAACTTCATTCGATTTCATTTGCCTCGATTACTCCCTCCGCCCATCGAGCGCGCCATCTGGCTTGACGCGGACACCATCATTCAGGTAGCGTTGAAGCCGTCAAGCCACAGCCGTATGCTATGCCTGTCATGCCTGTCAGGGCGATATTTCTGAGCTGTACTTCGACGCTTTCCGTCAAACTCGGTATCAAGGCCAGGAGGCCGGCCTTGCTGTGGTCCCTCGACGCTTCTCTCGTCACTTCAAACTCAGGTAAAGTCTTATATATTTGGCGGCTGTGAAAAGTTTTATATTTGGCGCTTGCAGGGAAGCGGTGGGAATCGGTGACTTCCGCAAATTGCGGAAGCACATCTACGTGCCTGCTGACCTGCAAATGTTCAACGCTGGGGTGCTTGTTTTTAATCTCACTATGTGGAGGCGTAACAAACTCGATGAGAAAGCAGAGGTATTCGCCACAGAAAAAAGAGAGACACGTTCGCAAGTGGGTGATTCTTGCATGGGTGCAGGGACTGATTCGTCTCCTTCACAGTCTGAACATTACGAGATTTAGCCGCATGTCGACAACACAAAGCAGCCAGCTGCCAATGAATCTTCTGTTTTTGAACAGAAATGTAGGTCTGTGACGCAGAACGACTGGGACGCAGACTTTCTTCGTATTCATCGATGCAGCTGGGTTTTCTCGACCGAAAGTGGAATTTCATGAACCTGGCTGCCAGCAAAGAGGAGATATCAAGGTACAAGAAAGGCGTATCATGCGTTGGGAAAAAGGAATAAACATCATGGCCTGTGTCTAGGGGCAAGATCCTTCACTGGGCAGGCATAAAACCATGGATTGCAGCTGGCCGTCATCGCGAGTGGTGGCTCTCATATCACTCTTCACATTGCTGCCCCGCGATGAACCAGTTTATTCATTACCCATACATGACGCCTCAGGCAAGTATGAAGACACAGGCGGCCGCGTGCGGATGTTGAATCAAGATACGGACGAGACATAATGGATGGATACACTATATTGGAAGATAAGCCAGAAAGACATGAAAAATCGCAAAATCGCGAAGTCGAGGCCCGAAGGGCCGAGCCGAGCAAGGAGTAGCCACAGTTTGACCCAAAGGCGGAGCGAACGTGCCTAGAGCGCCGACGGCAGGTCAGTCAATCTGAGTGATTCATGGGTGATGGAGCGAGGGATGCGGCCGTGAGGCGGCCTAATCAGGTGAGTGACCTGCCTATTACTCAAAATCCCCCACCGCTTCCCTGATACGTGGTGGTGGTGGTAGTGTAAGATTTGATACGTTGTCACAAATCGACATCACCACCATGAGCACCAGACGTGTGCCATCCGCCAGGGGTAGATGGATGCGTCGGTGACTGTGAGGCATGGACCAAATGAGACACACGTGAATGAATCAATATCACCCGAGACACGGGGAGTTTCTCCATCCACGCAGCAACCAAACAATCATCGTCATCTTTGATCGATGTGTCTGTGCTTGTCCGTCCGTCGGTGAACTATGAGCGCGTACATGCGCCGCAGTCATAGAAATATCCATGGTCACTCATTCCGTACGCAAGGGGAGGGCTGAGTCTCAGCTAGAAAGTGAGACACCGGAGAGAGCCGCGCCAATGCGAGGGCATGAAGCCGACGAATCGAGCTGGGCTGAGAGGAGACGCGTCTCATCCTCGTCAGGCCACCCGAGAGCGTTGCAGGAACGTTGCGAATTGGGGAAAAGATGCAGGCGGCATCAGTCCCAGCGCGACGACATGGCGGGCCAGCCAAGATCCTCAAGGCTGCCGACCAAGCGTCTCTGCGAATCACTTCATTACAACAGCAGACCAGACCACGGCTCAGAGGCGCTCCCTCCACCAGAGCAGTCCTCGCCACTCCACGCTCATCTCTTGTTCGGCCATGAAGAGCCCCGACCCAAGTTCCTCCTCGGCATCGGCCCTCACGAGGTGTCAAGGCCCCGACCCAAGTTCCTCCTCGGCATCGGCCAGCCTCAACCCCGCCTCGGCTCTTGGGTGCACCGCACAGACGACCACAGAGGGAACGGAGCGCAAAGGAAAGCTCCACTCAACAGAGATCCTCTACCCCCCTACCCCCCTGTCACGCAGCGGTTTCAAACCGCATTTTTTCAACATCGCCGCTCTCCAGCGCACAAATTCATTCTCGGCGGTCTTACCGAACATTTTCATTCGTTTGATCGCCCGACGCAGTTTTTCATCCTATTTCCTCGACAAGACCGCACATTTTCACTGTCGAGGCAGCTCTCAAGGGCATCCTGAGGAGCACACATGTGCTGGAGCTTGAAAGAGTGTCTGATCATCATGTACTTTTTCATCTACCTGTCTCTCCACTGCATCTTTTCAAATGTCTTGCTGTCTCCCACCGCACGTTTGCAATCTTCGCTGCCTCCACCGCATTTTTTCATTTCAGGCGGTTGCCCGCCGCACATTTTCAAAAAAACAGACATGCACACCGTTACGTGTCCAAGGGGTAAGATCCTCACAGCCCTTTCGAAGGATTGCCTTCTGCGCGGCGACTCTTCTCCCCACGGGCGTACCCTTGCACTTACGAAGCCACCGGCGGCGTCCCCGAAGGAACCCGTATCAACGGCAAGACTCAGGCAAGTAAGTCCCGGATCCGTGAGGTCCACCTCCCACTCAGATGACATCCATCTACCCCAGGCAGCATCCCGCACACGTCTCCGCGCTGACACAGACACACCACGCCACACAAGCACAATCTGTCTATGTCACACCTGGGCTCTTTGTCGTCGTCCGCCAGGCGCCGAAGCACAAGCAAAGCAAACGACTCGAAGGGAATGAGGCAGCAAGGGGCAACTCTGCGGAGGGAGTCTCCAAGCAATCACACGCCGAAGACAACACACTCAGCACTTCAACCCGACACGGGAACGAGTCTCTTTGTCCGTCAGAGCACAAGTCGACGGGGGGGGAGGGAAAGAAAGGAAAATCGACGAAGACAAACACAAGAGAAACTCGAAGGGAAGGTATGAGAGCATCGGAGGCTTCGAAAAAATGCCTTGCTCCTACACTGCCCGTACGGCGTTATGGCGTTATGTACGCACCCTGTACAACTAGCGCCATGCTTTACAAACAGCGGTTGCAGCGGTTGCATGCAAACGCGTTTCTCGACACAAACTCGGCCACGGCCAGCCTTCCTTCCTGGCCTGCGCTCTCTTGTCTTCCCTTGTTCGGCCTTCCTTTCGTGAAGTTAGTACATAGGCCTTTCCAAAAGTAAGCACCGCACCTGCCCTTTCGTTTCCAAACCCCAATCAAAGCAAACAAGCCGTGTCTCAGACGGCTCTTCAGACAGTCAGTTCGTCACTCAACGAGCGCTCACAGGCGCAAACCAGTACCAATCGACAAAGTAGGCCCACAGATGGGCGATGGGCGATACTGACTGTACATCGATAAACGAATCCTTCCTTTCCCATCGATTTCCATCCATTCCACCCCCAGCCAGTCAGTCAGACAGCCACAAGCAAGCATCATGCAGTACATACATGCAACGACTTCGAGGACGACGGGGCATGAGGGGCAAAGCTGCAGATATATAGGTTACAGTTATGCAGACAAGCAGAGAATTCAGCCGCCTCCGAGCATTTTGCTGGCGACTGTTCAGTCGCTCCTGGGTGTCGCGTCTTGTTCAGACGCTCGTCAGGTACGCGAAGGCAGTCACGAAGACACACGAACAGCACGAGATTTCTCCCTGTGCTGTGTGTGCTTCTGCCTCTCAGGTTTGTGGTTCGTGTGGTGGGCCTGAGATGGCCGACGCGCCCGGCAAGGGCGACTCAGAGGCCGTCAAGGCCGAGGATACGGCGGCGTCAAGGGGTGTGACGGGTGGCGCGACGGAGGAGGCTCAGCAGCCATCCACCGAGGCGAGTGGCAGTGGTGCTGGCGCTAGCTGGCGCATCAGAGAGCGCGTCGTCAGAGGTGCCCCTCGGGCCACCCTCTTGATTTGCCAAGTAGATAAGCACTTGTTCAGATGAGAGACAGCCGCGAAGGCAGACGTACGTATGCGTTGGGACATCGAGACACGATGAAGTGAAAGAGCCAATACCAACGCAACGAATGCATTGATATATCCAGGTCAATCACGCATCGGTCTGTCATGATAACGCAGAGACACGGCAGAAGAATTTGGTGGTGGGGGGGCGTCACCGCACCACAACGTATTAATTCATCATTTCTCTTCGACTGATATCAATGTCTCCGATGTCTCCCAGATCTAATCTTTGTCCAATGTTCACAATGCATCGATGTAAACCAATGTCTCGCTGCAAGTTTTACTAAGGATTTACAAGGAGAGGTGGACGAAATAAAGATCCGAAGGTGGCTTCTGGGCACACATGGCGGGTTCACAACTGCGAGAACGACCCGCCCCTCTCCCCACGTGTATTGTGGACGACGTGTGTGCACCGCGACAGCCGCAGACGACGCGTTACGCATCGGACATTCATTGCTTGTACGTTGAGTCACCCACTCTCGTCCCCTGATCCAAAAGATCCATGCACATCATGTATACACAAACATACGCATCTGCATGGCCTCCTGAGACCCACGGACACCTCACCGACTGCCTGCTTGTCCCTCTGGTTGATTCATTCATTGTTTTCTACCAGCAGGAGGCCGCCCGCCTCAGCTTCGAGATTTTCCGATAACGCACTTGCCGACAGATCTTGAGGGAGACAGGGGGAGGGAGAGAGAGGGAGGGAGGCCAACATGACACACATCCATCCATCCATCCATCCACCCATCGCTCTCTCTCGACTGCAAACTCAGAGGCTCTGTTCAACGGCCACCTTGTACACGCCAGGTACATGTACTGGGGCCTTCCCATGGATTTCCAGGCCAATTGGCCAAGGAACCGATAGCGATTTTGTGCCGATGGTTCTCTGGAACGTCACGTCGACCTACCAACATCTCCACATACAGCAATGGTTGTCAGTTCTCTCACTGTCACCGTCTCTTCCACTCACTCAATCACTGACTGCACCGTTTCCACCGCTCAGACGACGCCCTGATGGACCAGGAGGACGACGAGCGGGAGCTTTTCTGCACGCCTCACGGGTCCATGAGACGTGGATGAGCTCCTCTCCTGACATCCCCTCATCCACGTCTCATGCACGCCTTTATGCGTCTGCTGGAGCACGTCCTTCGGCGTGTCGCGCAACGCTGCCCCGCCTTCCTCAAGCACCTGGACTAGTGGCTGGACGAGTGCGGCTTTCCGCCCTACTGTCGGTTCGCTTGCCAGACGAGAATGTCAACAGCTTCATGGACCAGCTTCAGAAGCTCATCTCAGTATAAGGCCGATCAGAAGAAGACCACGAGAATCACCACGCCCGTTTGTCGACGTTGGTGTCTCTTTGTGTACTTTCGGAACTTTCGGAACATGTGTGTGCGTCTGTGTGCGTTTGTGCAGGTTGAGTGTGATGGACATTCCTGCTTTGTTGTATGCAGCGGCCGTGCTCGCCATGCAACTGATTCGTGGACTTCCGGCAGAACGTGCATTCACTCATCCTTGCGGCGGCGACAGGCTGGCCAGAGAGAAGCATGACAAGGGCTCTTGCCCGGGTAGAAATGCGCGATAGACTCTTCTGTTGTTGTTGTTGATTCTTTATTTTATAATTTTCAGGGGAGGAGAGGGGGGGAGCGGGCGAAGCCTGATAGATTTTCGCCTGCGGACAAAGCCTATTTCCCATGCCAAAAAAAAAAGTCCAAGCCTCCTCCCCACATCATTTTTCAATCGTTCCAAATGTGCCGAATATTCAAACAACGGCAAACCGCAGAAAAATATTCTGGAAAACGCAAATTAAAAAAAATCGAGGAGCAATGTTAAAAATTCCGACAGCAAGGAACACATTTTAATAGCCACAAAAAATAAAAAGAGAGAATTTAAAAAATTTGGGTTGCAACCCGTGAGCTGTTTGAATCACAGCTTCCCTGCCATGTTCTTCTCTCGCAAACCAATGTCCTTCACACATCAAGCTGGATAACACTCGTTTGTATTGTCCACACAGTCCATTTGCCTTCACACGTCCACACACATTCACACACACACACACACACACACAAAAGACAGACATAAGATTACACACAACACATAGAGACATGCATACATAATTCACACAGACAAACAGCCAGACAGTGTCGGCAGATGCACCACATTCATTCACATAGACAGACAGTCGGGGCTGGTATGTACATGAACCAATCAATTAATCAACCAATCAATCAATCAATCAACCAATCAATCAACTATTTTCCTCGATTTGTCCGGTATCTCGGTGACGTGCACATCCGAGCGCGTTTTTCGACACCAGAAATTGCCATTTTCCGCGGGCGAAAACCCGGGGGGCCCACTCGTCCGGGGACTTTGCCCCTCTTCTGCCCTCATGTCCTCTTTTAAGATGGTTTAAGATCTCCCAAACCCCTAATTTTAAAAGAACGCAAATACACATTAGAAAAGGGAGGAAATTCTGAAACATTGGAAACATTGCAAATCCAAGGGAGGAACCTTGGATGGGCTGCAAAAATGATACGGTAGCGTCCTCCTCTGAGCCTGTCTGTGTGTGGAAGCAAGAAAGGCGAGAGATACAGACAGTCGAACCTCTCAGAGAGAGGCGCTATCGCGCCACCGCCCTCTCTGTACGTGCGGGCAGGGTGTGAGAGAAAGGGGTGACTGGCTGTAGATGGCTGATGTGTGGATGATGTGACGTGACGTGGAACAGGGGAAGGGCGATGTCAGGTGATGTCCTCAGCGACAGTCCAATCACGATACGCAACAAAAGCACAAAGGCTGCCAAAGCCGAAAGGCTGGGAATCGACCTGTGGTGTCCGGCTGCAACCATGAAAAGGCAAATGCTGCTCTATGCGCTTTCTGGACAGCTCTATCCCACTCAGCTCTCTGTACTTTGCAAGATTGTCTCTATGACACATCTTGCAATGCACACATGCCTGGCTGGCTGCAGCCCTTCGACTGCTCCACTGACATGTGCGTTGGCTACAGACAGCATGCATCACATCATGCAAGGGTTCCCTTACGCACCCTCCATGCACACATCCATCCATCCATCCATCCATCACCATCCAGGTAAGGATTTACCGTGTAAGGAGTTCGCGATTTGATATGACGTATGCATGACCGTGTAAGGATTTACTGCGATGGAGTCCACTTCGCATCAAAAACTCGCTCGGCACACCACCGAAATACCTGGAAACATCGTAGAAAATCATTGATCGATTGATTGATTGATTGATGGATGGATGGATCAGTTGGTTGGTTCATGTACGTGCTCTGTGTGTCTGTCTCTTCGTCTATCTTACCCCTAGTCTATCTGTACATACGTATGGATTGCGTCTCATGAATGAATGTGGTGCTATGAATGTATGGCTGTTATGTATGCTCGTAGCTGATGGTATGTCTGCCTGCAAGCGCGTGTGTGTGTTTATGTGAAGGCAAATGGATTGTGGAGCATACAACTGAGTGTGTCGACATTGTTGGCGAAATTTTTCCCTATTTTTTTACTCTTTGACATCGTTTTGAATGTTTTCTGCTGGTTTGGCGGTGGTTTGCATTTTATACTGGTGGCATATTGGGAGGTTTTAAAAAGGGCGCGATCAAAGGGAGAAGGCTTCTACGGGGTGAGTCGTGGTCGCTTCTAGGCAACACGCATTTACATACATCGACAAGTCAGACACGGCTTCTGTTGTTCCTCTAGTTTTGCTGATGTGTCGACAAATGCACATTGGAAGAACAAGGGATGATCTCGCACATTCGCCGCCGTACCTTCACCCACAGAGAGATCCCAATTGGCGGTTGTGTATCTTTCTGCGTGTATGGATGGCCTACCATCTTTGCTGGTCCTTTTGATATAGTCGAGCTTTGTCTTGTCAGTGAGACATTGTCGTGTCATTGCGCGGAGCACACTTCTCGCTGTCTCGCTATTTGGCGCATTCCACAGTATCTTTTTGCTATAGTAGTCCATCAGGCGCAGCTTCTCTGTGACGGTTCGGTGGTCCTCGTAGAGCTCATCCAGTACGGGCTGCAGCGCTTTGCGAGGGTCCTGCTCAAAGACAGAGCCCTCGATCGCATAAGTGAAATTCCTGTAAGGCGGAACAGCACCGACCCCCACAATACGGGCCGTGTGATGACATCACATTCTGTCCCTCTCTGCATACCTCCATGGGATTTCGCACTGGAAGGGGATGCCGTACTTGAAAACGCCGTCAAGCTCATTTATCAGGACGTTCAGCGTCCGGGCCCAAAAAGCATCGGCAACCCTCGAGCTCGTCACATCTCTCCCGGGAAAGCATAGATTCAACTTTGAGTTAGCCAGGCGATGCAGAAAGATTGAAGCTGAGAAGAGTTGGTGTGAGCGTTTGTAGCTCACGCCCTGGCATTGCTCAAAATTGCCCATTTTGAATCCATTTGGATCGATGATCCTCCCTCTACGGGGACAAAACGGGAATTGAGTTTTGAAGTTGCGCCGAAAAAGGCCAACAAAGACACTCTTTCCGGTGACACAATCCGGGCAAGACTCTGGCCTATAACGCCAATTCGCCAAGCTTTCGAAGGCCAACAGTCGATACGGACGACCGTGATACACCTTTCCTTCGACACTCAACCACAGCACACATATCGGCAGAGTTGAGTTGCCTGAGTCTAACCTTGAAAGAACATTGCGTAGTCGCGTTCGAACCAGTCGTGTCTCGAGGGAGGGTTGAAAGCCGAGCCTAGTCGGTCATCCTCAAACACGTCGGTAGGTTTGATGAGCCCGCGTTCCAGGAGACTTTCCTTCTCAAAAGGCTGGTATGCTTTTTGTAGCGCCGTCAGCGAGGACCTGAATGCAGACATACACAACCAGTCATCGATGCATTGAGTTGCGTAGGATTTTCATACGTGTGGGGTATCGTGACAGCACATCCGAAGAGGCCCCTGTCTGTTGGACAGGATGGTCGACTATATGTGTGTTGCAGATGGCTGGTCTTTCTCCTTCACTTCCTTACGGTTGTCCGCAAGGTGCCGCCCCTGTGTGATTCTCCTGGCAAATGTCGCAAACTCCCTCCCAAGTACCATCTCCATGTGACCAGGATACCTGAAACGCCAGTCACTCGCCTGCATGGCAATTCATATATACGTCATGAGGACAGCTGTGTGATACGAACATCATCTGTCACGAGCCGGGTCCAAGTACCACTCACCACTAGAATGTGGTCGAGTCCGCCATTCCTCTCCCATTGCGGCGTCTCCGTCACCTGGATAACTGAGCAGCTCGTGCCATGTACGCTAACATGTCTCACCTCTTTTGCAGCCTGTTCAGCCAGTGCGTGTATGGTCTTGCTGTTTTTCTCTCTACACAACTTTCGGTACAAAAGCACTGTATGCAACATAATGATTCGCTTAGCCTGGTTTCCTTGCCTTGTTCGTCCGCAGACCTGGATAGATTGGGAGGACATAGACGACGGCTTTGTCAGGGTCAGACGTCCTCCAAGAATCGTTCCACAACTGGTCTAACCAATATAGCTCGTCAATATTTTTCGTGTCATCTAGAGGGAGACGGCCAGGCCATCCGCCCGACAATATCTGTCGTGCGCTCTCTTGACACATCTGATACAGCGCTTTCATTGCCGGCGTTTGATATATGTAGAATGGCACCTCCATGTGGCGTTCCAAGGCCTCCAAGTCAGCAGAATTGCTGTTGGCTTCTTGGATATCATTGTGTTTGTGTTTCCTGTGGTTCAAGACGACACCGCGGGAGGACGGGCGGCCGGGGCGCAGCCTGGGAGGAGGATAACTATTGCAGCTGACACACAGACACAGACAGACACATTGCAACAGGAACAGGTCCACAAAGGTAGGAAATGTCTTCATCCAAGATGATTCTGAGTGTAAAACCTGGGCCGGAAGCGACTTTACTTCAACCTTATATCGCAGTGATCTTGTTTCCCCAGCGGTCTGTGGACAAAACTTTGGGAAGTCTGACACAGACAATGCACGTCAAACGGTCTCTTAAATGTCACATGGTGGCCCAGAGAGACGACGGGCGGTCCACCGGGCGGTTGAGGCCAAGACGGCCGGGTGGGTGACTTGCCGGCCTGACGCAGAGGACCACACCGACCTGACGCCTGACGAGTTCCGCGACAACATGGCCATCCGGTACGCCTACGAACCTCCCAAGATGCCCACCCACTGCGACGGCTGCGGAGCTGCCCACGCCCTCAACTATGGGGTGGGTGGGTGGGTGGGTTGGTTGGTGATTCGGCGGCACCACGAGGTGGTGGACGTGCTGTGCGACCTGTCTGCCAAGGCTTGGGGCGAGTCGGCGGCCAGGAAGGAGGTGGTGGTGATCGTGGAGACCGAGGAGGGCGAGAAGGGGTTGCGGACGGAAATGGTGGTGAGGGGGGTGTGGGAGCGGCAAAAGGACGTGTCGCTTGACCTCTGCGTAACAAAGGCTGATGCGTCTTCCTACCGCAAGAAATCGACCGCCTCCATTCTCAAGAGCAAGGCCAAGGCCAAGGAGGCCCACCACAGGCGTGTGTGCGAGGACAAGTCCATCCACTTCACCCCCTTGTGCGTCACGGTGGATGGTGTGTGGGGCAGAGAGGCCAATGGTTTTTTCAGCCGCCTGGTTGAGAAGCTGCGCAGCAGGGCTGCGTGGGCAGACAAGTCGTATGGCCAGATGATGGGGTGGGCCCGTGCTCGTTTGTTTGTTGCGTTGGCACGTAGTGCGACTTTGCGTGTGCGTGGCGGGCGGCGCCGCTGGAAGATGCGCCAGGCGGGCGCTGAGGATGGTGCTGGTATGTTTGTCGCGTGACTGAGAGTTGGTCGATTGACACAGTCCATTTCATGAGAGGCCGACAGACTCTGCCTGCCGTTGCGCTATGAGTTTTGCTCGCTTTCAGAAGCATGGGCGACCAGCACATCTGATCTAGAGTCGGGAATGGTATTCGCACGCAGGCACATGGATAGGCAATCACGGAAACACAAGCGCACCACACGACATGAAATGACAGCAGCAGTCCGACACAAACTCACATAAGCGACAACATAGACGCAATGACATAAATGCAATCACATAAGCGACAACCGCACACACTACCAAACCACCACATGCAACCCAAACCCGACCCTTCACACAACGTTCCCAAACCAATCCCTCACGGCCGGTCCTGGCATGCAAACGTGCGGGTTTGCGCCCTGCAGGGCCCTCGAGAGATGAGGTCCTCAGGAAACAGACCTGCCCGTTGCTGTGTCCGAGCATCGGCCGCATGGTGTGCGCGGCAGGACACTTGAAAAGCATTCCAGCGCATCAGCGCGACCGACAAACACTGCCCCCAATAATTCATGACCCCCTAATGAAACAACGCACGATCTTCTGCAGAGCTGGCGGGTAGGGGGACGCGCCGTCGCGCGCGGCGAAGCAGAGTGAGGATCAATATTGGTGAGGGTCTCTCCACCCCAACGGCCGAACATCTCCGCCGCTAGAGGTACGAACGTGTAGCCCTTCTGCCAACAGCTCCCGCCCTTCCCCGCTCCTTCCCCGCGGCTGCAATGCCGCCCGGCCGACGTGCATTGCTGCGGTTGACCTGAGTGTGGTGGGCGGTGGAGTTCTCGGGCCGACACGAATGGACCACCGTGACGTCGCACAGGACACCTTGCCGTCGATGGGGAAGAAGAGGTCCATGCGCTGACTGTTGGGCTGGGCGTCTGGAGGGGTGATGTTGTAGCCTCCGTTTTCACTGATTCCCAGGGGCAAAAGCGGCGGTCATGACTCATTTTCCAAATAAAAAGGATCAATAATGCGCGTGGGCGAAGTTCCGCTCAAAGGGCCAGTGTTGTGTCCCTGGCCGAGGAAAATAACTTGCCGGCCAGCTTGATACGCCCCACGGGATATGGCATATCCCTAGGATATGGCATCTCCGGAGAGATGCTTATGTATCAGATGCATTTAATTTATCAACGACGACGAACTTCGTCAAGCATCAGTCCATATCAAGCAAGCAAAGGGAACAGGGTTCAACATGCAAAGCCAATGAACAACGGTCACGCTGCAAGTGACACACGCATGACGATACACATTCACAATATCCAGACCCAGCCACCACCTCACAGCCCCGAAGAGGGGCTGGCGTGTCTGGCTGGAGGAGCCGGCTGAGGACGCAAAACCAGGTGGCAATCCAATGTATGGCCATCGCGCTGCAATTCAGGATTCTTTTCCGCCTGTGCACTTTGTTGTGTTGTGAGACAGAATATTCGAGAATGCAAGGTATGGCCATCGCGCTGCAGGATATCCTTTTCCGCCTGTGCTCTTCGTTACCAAACGTCACACCAGCCAGACAGACAGGGCAATGCCATTTGTTTGGCCTCACCCAGTTGGTGAAGGTGCAGGCCAGTAAAGAGCCCCACTGCCCTAAAGGGCATGAGAGGCGAGGATGCGAGAGCGAAGAAGGCCGCTGCTGTCGTCAAGTTCGTGCAGCGGTCGCAGAAGCGGTGTGGTAACACGCACCATGAAGATCACTGGAGCAGAGACAAACAGGCGGACCACAAGTACTACACGAGATGTCTATGAAGAGATAATTGCTGTTGGCGCTTTGCTCAGAGTTACAACCTCTGGCCACTCAGTGAATGGCCAGAGGTTGAATTCACTAAGTGCTTTGTCCAGGATGAATTCACTGGATGGCCAGAGGGGAATGATTAATCATTGATCGTATCAGCACACAGATAACAGCGTCTAGTGAAGGGCCGTCTGGCGTTGGAGTTCCTCCGGAATTTTCTTCGCTGTGAACTCCGGACAAGTGGGGTCTCCGCCGGTGCCAAACGAAAACGACGAACATTCGTGGAAGATACTCTCTTCCCTGTATCTCCGTTTGTACGCCCTGCCCCGTATTTCGACTTTTCCCTTCTTGTTGCCAACGACGCCAATCCAAAAAAACCTTTCGTGGGGACATACAGACAGAGGCAATGACAATGACTAGACACAGTACATTATCGCGTGTTTGTGTTCGGAAAATCCTACCGTCGACCCTTGCCATATTTCTCTTGGTTGAATCTGAAGCTGTTGTAGTCTTCGCTGAGAGGTAGATGGAGGATGACGGCAGCGGCTGAGGCTACAATAGCTATTTCCTTACCAGCAGCTGGCGATGGCTACCGAGGGTAAACCACCCGGTCCCACGCCCGCCTCGAGCTTAGAGTAATACACTGAAAAACCATCACCGGGTGGTTTCTCGAATATGTCGGTCGCCGGACACGTTCCTGGCAAGAAAGGAAGAAAGAAAGACCGAAAGAAAGACAGTGAGTGAGTGAACAGGAATGTTGAGATTTCTCTTGCCTGTGCAACACTCCCGGTTGTTGTACCCTGCACCAGAAAATGCACGCAAGTCAGTTTTGCCCTTGCCACCCTTGTCAGTCGGAGCTAAGCCATACCAATGATTACGTGGTCGGCAAACTAGACAGGAATGACAAAGAACAAAAGATAGTGACACATCAGCGCACTTGTTCAATGCCTCTCACGTCCTTTGCATTGTAACTATCGGTCCGGTCGACGAATATCTCGAGCTCAAAATCGATCACATGTTCCCCGTTTGGGCGTAGCGCATCCTTGTAGATCTCTCGCAAATCTTCACGGTCATCGACATCGACAGATTCGTCACGGTCTTCGTCACGGTCATCGCTTAAGATTCCAGCATACGTTTGGCGAAGCTCACCCCCTGCCCCTGCTGTTTTTGTGAGGAAAGGAAATCGCACAACAACTACATCTAGTTTTGCATTATCCGTCCCAAACGTCTTGCTAGGCTCATCTTCTGGGTCGATGATATTAAAAATATCTGCAATAACAAAGAACGCAGTGAAAGTGTGCCGTATAGACACGCCTCACCCGTGACACGCCTCACCCGTGCCACATATGGAGTCGCCTGGCACCCCAGGCCAGTCGTCCGTTCTCTTGTTGATGAATTCGGGCAACCGCTTTTCCTGGTCTCCACCAAAATAGATGGTGTGCCTGTCGCCGGTGTCGTCGATAGCCTGAGGGGGGATCTCGGGTGGACCAGGTGAAGGTACAGTCCCTACGACGAGAGGTGATAGCACGTCAAAGAACCCACCATTGACCTTCCTGACCCTGCAAACGAAAACATGCGCACGCATTTGTACAAATGTATGATGATAAAGACACATACCTTTCCGGGCATGTGAGGGCGACGTTGGGAGGATCGGTCAGGCCCTCGACGTATTCCTGCCCTAGAAACGGTGGGCACACTGCAACAGCCGAAAAGTCGACAGGAAAATGTTGCCATTTTCGTGTTTGACCCACCATCTGTTGTGCTGAAGCCGAGGCCGCTCTGATGCGCCGAGATATCCAGGCCACCTGAACTCACCGACAGGAAGGAGTCATCCGAGCCACTGGAACGCGAGGGACGTCGGAGGACGGCGTGGGGCGCCGCGCGCGACGTGAAGCCTATCAGGAGGCCTACGAGGACCACCAGAATGGCCATCAGTAGCCTGTCGCACCGACAACAGCGGGAGGACGGCACAGCTGGGAGGCAGACCAGACAGTGACCAGACACAGGAACCAACCAACGAACAAGATGCGACCGACACCTCGAGGTGAGTGTGGGAGAATCGACTGCCTCGAACTAAACCTTTTTTTGTAGACGGGGGGATGTGGCATTTACTTTACGATTAATAACGGAAAGCCAGCTCTGCATGCGCAGTGCAGAAAGCCAGCTTTCGAAGCGGAAAGCCAGCTTTCCAGGCGGAAAGCCAGCCTTCCGCCGGAAAGCTGGCGAGAAACGGCGGTTCCGGGCAAGGCAGAAGACAAGCAAATCATGAAGCAAACGCGCTTCAATGAACGATAAGACACAAGTCGCTCACCACGTCGCGTGATCGCTTGATGAGCGATTCTCTCTTTTGATCGTTGAGAGACAGCTGTGTCCGGATTGTGTAGCGTAGCTAAGGATGCCGATTCCAGGCGCTGCGCACGCGAGGACATGGCGGACGCAGTGGTGAAAACACCCAACCAAGCAATGCATTCGTCTCTCACCGATCGCGAGTCTCGGATATATACACAGTAGAGGGGAGGAGGGTAGATAGAGGGTAGACAGACATCCACGCGTTGGCCCGATGTAGCTTCGCTCTTGTGTGTGCACACACAAGAGCGAAGCTATGTGCACACACAAGAGCGAAGCTATGTCTGTTCCACTATGTTACATGTCTTGTTGACCTGCTTTGCTGCTGTCGGTACCCTCCTGTAGCCAGCCCTCGTGGCTCGCCGCCTTCAGTAACCTAAGAGAGCGGTCCGTAGATGCCTCAGCTGCTGTCCACCGTCATTCCATGTATGGGTGCGAGAGCCCTTGGATGTCTCCGAATGTCTGATTCATCGGGGAGACGAAAGTCGCCTTAGTGGCCAATAGCTCAATCAGTCAACTACTAATCGTCCTCTGCGCGCAACGACTGCTCCCTTTCCTCTTCTGTCCTCCCCTCGTGCGCATAGCCACACACTCGTCCTCCAACACGGCCTGGGCTTTTGCCGCCTCAGCGGCGAGCTCTAACGAACGCACCTGCTCCCCCGCCCACTCTCTAAACTCAACAGCCATGTCAAGAGCCCTATCTACATCATCTCTGTCAGCTGACAACACTGGGAATTGCTTGTTGAATCTGAGTACCCCATCGTGCGACCTGGCAGGTAACGTAAACCCTCGAGATACTCATACGTCTCTGTGTGTCTGTGTGTTAGGTTGTTCGTGGGATGTGTGCGCGGTGTTCAGGTTTCTGTCTGCCCCCTTCCCCCCCTGGTGTTCAGGTTTCTGTCTACCCCTTTCCCCCCTCCCCCTCCCCCTTCGGCAGCAGGGGCGTCGGAGACGGCGGGTCCAGCAGGAGGGACGTCGAAGATGGCGTATCCAGCAGCAGACGCGTCGAAGATGGCGGGTCCAGCCGCAGGGGCGTCGAAGATGGCGGATCCAGCAGGAGAGGCGTCGGAGACGGCGGATCCACCCGCAGAGGCGTCGGAGACGGCGGATCCAGCCGCAGAGGCGGCGGAGACGGCGGGTCCAGCCGCAGAGGCGGCGGAGATGGCGTATCCAGCAGCAGAGGCGTCGAAGATGGCGGGTCCAGCCGCAGGGGCGTCGAAGATGGCAGATCCAGCAGGAGAGGCGTCGGAGACGGCGGATCCAGCAGCAGAGGCGGCGGAGACGGCGGGTCCAGTCGTGTTCATCAGCGAATGAATGGGTGAATGAGTGAATGAGTGGTGTGCGTGTGTGCGGGGAGGTTTGCCCCAGTCGCTTTGTAGTGATCCGGGGAGGTTTGCCCCAGTCTTTTCGGGTGGTCTGAGGGTTTTCCCGGGTCTATTGATGTGTGTCGTTACCTGCTTCCGATGCGGCTCTCCTCACTGCATGCACCGCTCTTCTTCCTTGCGCCGTTGCCCGCTCTTCTCAGAGGGTGGCCGTCGAGCCGTGGGTCGTTGGGGCGGCGCCGGCGGCACCAGGAGGGCCAACAACTTGAATGCCGTCCTTCTTCTCGCCTCTGGGGGGGCGTCTGGGGTCAAATCGCATATCATCCTGACCGGCAAGACGAGGCTAGGGTGGTCCTGGGGTCCGCAGGGCGTCAAGTGGCCTTGCAGTGGACAAAACCGGCGTCTGATACTGCAAGCTCAAAATGGCTCACAACAGGCAGAAAGGCACAAGAGCGGGGACGCAATCACAGAAACACAAGCGCATCACACCTATCAATCTGCTGTCTGATTATCACGCGCACCTCGATGGCTGGACGAGGTTCCTCTGTGCATGTGGAGCGTGGATGGGTGATTCCTGTTGCGTGTCGTTCGTTTGATTGTGCGCGAGACACCGGACCAGGCTTTCGGGCCACTTAGGACATTCCGTGAAAGCGCCCTCCCGATGGCAAGGCGAGAAAATGACTTTGTTGACTTTCCTCGTTGTCAGCAGCAGCAGCTTCACCCTCAAGGCCATTTCCTCGCACACGGTATTGGCGTTCCTGCAGCCGCAGCACCGCCATGGTCCATTCGGGTATCGAGCAGGTCTCGCCCTCACCCGCCGATGCGGTCGACTTCCCCCCCTCGTGGAAGGACATGGGCAGGTCCTAGATGATATCGGCTACGAGAAGGAGATGGAGCTGCGTCGAGCCTTTCGTCGCCTCGCCGACCGCCAGGGTTTGATGGATCTGACTGGTTTCTACAGCTTCAATGACTTTGCGGAGATGGTGAGCAGCGGTGACCTGGAGAGGCAGGAGCTGCGGGAGGTGTGGGATGGGCAGAAGAAAGTGGTAGGGGACAAGATCGATGTGGATGGATTCGTCATGGCGTATCGGCAGATCAGCAGCCTGTTCGAGGATGTGGAGATGGAGGAGCACACGCCGGCGCCACTCAGTGCTGAAGAGAGCGAATGGAGGGGCATCTTCATCGGTCTCAGCGGCTCAGCAGACGGCGCTCTTCTCTTTGACAAGTTTGTTCAGTTCGCCTCGGACAGGCCGCTGCCAGCGCTGGAGAGTTTGTGGCTTCGTCATGTCGGTGGCCGGTCTCTTGCGGCCTCTCTCCCTCAGTTTCTTTCCCTCATGGCTTCCTTGCCCGCAGTGTCAGTGTCAGCACGAGGGCCAATCGAACTGCGAGAGCCGGTGGAGGAGGAGTCGGTGAGAGAGTTAGCTCAGGCGCCTGTAGGGACTGTCTCGCCCTCCAACGAGTTGCTTGATAATGTGCCTGGCGGGGCGAGGGAAGAGTTCGCGAATGCAGCAAAAGGGGCGAGGGAGATCACATTTGATGCATTCACCCAAGTGCCGAGGGTACGAAGAATGGTTGACGTCGGAGGTGAGGAAGAACTGGCACTCACGTCAAGAATGCGACTGTGTCTCCCTGCTGTCTTGTTCGCTGATAGACATTGACGAGGTAGAGTTGTGGAGCCTGTGGAGCCGCTCGACAGACAACAGGCCCTCAGCTACTGTGAGCCAGTACGCCGCCACCATCCGACGTCTCGACCAGCTCTTCGAAGAAGAGGTCGCGGAGGGACCTCCCTCAAAGAAGTTGCCGTCACCGTCCTCCGCCCCTCCTTCCATCGACTTGTCGGCCACTACGAGCGCCGCGAGTGAGTCATCTCTTGTACCTGCTCCGTCATGGATCCCTGGAATGCCCAACAGAGGAGGTGGTGGAGAGGGGACAGTCGTCAGCAAGATGAGAGTGGCCCTTGGGAAGAGGCGGGGAGGCGACGAAGAGGGGGTCAAGGGTGAACAGGCGGCTGTGTCCCTTGGTGTTGCACCTAAGGAGTCTTTGATGGCATTGCTAAGACAGGTAGGGTGGTAGAGGCAGGTTGGACAGACGGACAGACGAATGTGTGAGGTGATGATTGTTCTATCAGGTGACAGACAACGGCCTTTCTTGTCCTGCTTATGTGGACAAGAACATAAGAACGCTGGCTCAGCAGCTCAACCAGATGCCAGAGAACTTCATATGCAGGGTATGAGCGGATTTTTCTTGCCTGTATTCTTATATCATGACATTGCCTCCCGCGCAGGGACGCAAGGCACTGCTAAAGACCCTTGCAGGTGGTTGGAAGCTCGATTACACGTCATCTGATACCGTCAGGTTCAACAAGGGGCTATCAGGTGCTGCACACGAGGGAACCACAATGAACCAAATCACACTGGCTCATGTCTGCAGGTTTGGCCAAGACGATTCCTGGTTCGATTTTCATGAAGCTCGAGCAGCAGCTGTTGACTGACAGCATCCTGTCTGATTTCGAGTACACCGAAAGGATTGGCAGTGTCGATGTGACACTCACGGGCGTGTGGGACGTGCGACTTCGTAGGCAATGAAACTGACCGGAAAACGTGCGCAGCATCGCAGCGGTCTCTCTTGTGTGGTGCACTTGCAGGGACGTCTCAGTTCACGAACAAACCTGTCTTCATGTGAGCTCCAGGAACCGAGGACGAACTCAAACGACCGCGCTGCATCTCTGTATCAGGTTTGAGCAGACGTTCGAAAAGGCCTCTTACGGTTTTGTGAACTCGAAGTGCACGACGTGGCCATCACTGAGGCCATATGCAGGGATGGAGGTGAGAAAAGATAAAATCGACGGAGTGCCTCCATTAGGCTGTGTTGGTTTGCTGTGTGTATGCAGTTGGTGTACGTTGATGCTGACCTCCAGATAGTGCGTGGGAATGCCGAGACGAGTTTGTTCGTCTTCTCGCGGATCATGTAACCAAATGGTTACCCAGTGGGGGGGAGGGATTGTGTGATTCAGGACAGTTGCGCGTCTGATCATGTCCTGCATCAGGCGTGCCATATCATAGCATATGTGTAACGGCACTGCATGAGAGAAGTCTCACACAAAACAACATCAGTCTCCCTCATCTACGCGCACATGACACTACAACGATCCTGCTTATCTACTGTAAGACAGCTCTCACCACCACCTCCCCCCTTCAACCAATTGACTCCCCCCTTCAACCAACTGACTGACATACGCAGTCCCCACACAATGTCCACGTGTCAGGCCATGCACACGGCTATCGACGACACCGACGACGTAGATGACGCCATCGGGGCGAGCCGCGGACAAAATACGACGGGCTACAGGTCCGGGGTCAGCATTCTGAAGTTCTGAGTAATGTGAGGGGCAGGGAAGGACAAAAGTGAGACAACAAGAGGGGGAGAGGGAAGGGCAACAATCCCACCTGGTAAGGAGCCGTGGAAGGGGTCCAGCCGTCCCACTCAGGCTCAGGATAGTTGTAGGGGTTGTCGCGATACAGCTTCTGGTCATGCAACACACAAGGAGGAATACAGCCCGACTGCCCGATCGGAGGGTAGTTGATGTTGTTTGCGGCTTACCCCCTTGTTGCAGTAGCACCAGAGGGCGTTCCATGCCTCGTTCCAGTACCACGTGCCCAAGCAGCTGCCGACCGCTACAAACAGCCAGAAACGGGGAGTGTCCTTCAAAAACAGCTCATAGAGCCTGCGCAAACAGACACGGCAACCAGCAGCATGCCAAGGGTGTCTGAGATGTTGCTTTCCTTTGCCCCACACCTACTGCAGCTTGTTGAAGGCTCTGAAGAACCAGTCCATGCTGTCCTTGCCGACACGTGAGCTGTTCAGAGCCGCTTTGGCCCAGTGAGGGTCAGACTGGCGGTAGACGGAGCCGAAGTGCCCCAGTGTTTCGCCGTAGAATTTCTCCAGTGGCCCGCCCAGCAGAGTATGGTACATACTCGCCAGGCTCGACCACCCGGTGAGGGTTGCCGGTCTCGGCACTCGATGGAAACGCGAAAGGCGCATTTTCCCTCGCCCTTCAATGGTTTTACGAGATACCCTAGGCGGCCCAACATTCGCCGTGAGGCCCCATCTTTGCACTGATCGATTTGTCGTCTTGCGTTCGCAGGATATCGACTGAAGAGCTCATCGGCATTGTTTCTGTTTACAAGGTGGAGATGAAGCCGACACAACCGTACGCAAGTATGGGCTGTCAAGATGCAGCTGCAGCAGGAGAAGGGCCTTCTCGCCACAAAACAAACAGTCATCCATCAGTCGACCACGGTGGAGGACAACCGTACACCGGCTCATTACAATGTCCAGGAGGACGCGACTCTGCACTTGGATCTTCCGTGAGGACACAAACAAGTCGTGCACTCATATTATGCCCGAGTGTCCTTTCTGTCTGTTACTGTATGGCTTGCAGTGTGCACACCAGTGGCCGTTACGGTTTCGGGCCGAGCACCGGTGTGTCGGCAGAGGAGCTGTCAATGCTGACAGAAATGGATGGAAGTAATGCGGCACTGGTCGAAGCCTGGCATGGCAAAGAGCACGTGCTTCAGCTGGTTGGCGAGGTGACAGAGGCCTTTAATGAGCCACCATACTTACAACATCCTGCTCACCAAGCTCCGCAAGATCTG